GGAGGGATGCCGAGTGCAGGAGGGGGCTCAGGGCAGGGGGTTGGGGTCCAGGAGGGGTGTGGCAGGGGGCTCAGGAGAGGGAGTTGGGGTGCGGCAGGGGGCTCAGGACAGGGAGTTGGGGTGCAGAAGGGGTACGGGGTGCAGGTAGGGGGCTCAGGGCAGGGGGTTGGGGTGCAGGAGGGGTGCAAGGTGGAAGCAGGGGGCTCAGGGCAGGGAGTTGGGGGGTGGGGTGCAGGAGGGGTTCGGGCTCCAGCCCGGTGCCGCTTACCTGCAGCGGCACGCTCCCTGCCTGCTTGCCCTGTGTAACGATGCAGTTCTGGCGGGACCCAACTGAGAGTGCCAATTCAGGACAAATCGCTTAAAACAGGGCAGTTACAGCCCTAGGTTGGGGTTTTTCCACCTCTAAGGCAAACCAAACCAGCTTGAAGCTGTCAGTATGGACAGATGGCAGTGCTTTCCCCACTGCACTCTACAAAGGCTGGTTTAACTCAAAGCGCTCTACATCTGCAAGTGTAGCTATGCCCTAATTTTGCTAAATTAGTGCAATTTTGTGTGTGGATACTCTTAAAGTGATTTAAATCTGGTTTATAGCAGTTTAGCATGTCCGTACACAGGTTTGCTTTGGTCTAAAATGGTGCCAATTTATGTCTAGACAAGCCCTTAAAGTTTGGAGAAAAAAACCTTTGTTAAAGATTCCCCACTTTCAATTAAGGTCTAAGAGCTAAACATCTACATCATCTGAGACTCACAAAGAGATTCTCCAGCAAACTCATGGAAGATCAGACTGAGGCCATGTCTACACTTCAGAGATAAGTTGACTTAAGTTATGTCGATGATAAAAAAAAAGTTGTAATTACATCACTTGTGCATGTTAACACAACACTCTTTGTGGCAGCAGAGTGCACCCGTTGTTGGTACTCTAGCACCGACAGAGAAAGCAGTGCACTGTGGGTAGCTATCCCACTGTGCAAATCACCACCTTCTCCAGATAAGAGTTCTGGGAATGGATCGCAGTGAATCATGGGGCAAGGATCATCACCCCCATGATGCAGTTTTCTCCATCCCATAACTCCAAGGGCTTGTAACTGTGTTTCACGCCATTTTTCAACTGCTCCTGAAAACTGTGTGCCCGCCATCTCTGCCTGAAAGCATGGATCTTGCACTGCTTGCCAGTCTTGTGATAAGCGTTATGAACACAACCTAGCTGATCCTGCAGTATTTCATGACCTGTGAATCTGAACAGGAATCAGTGCTGCCTGCGCCCTGCTGTGTGCCATGGAAAGAAACCATTCAAGATTGAAGTTGACATTCACAAAACAGGTGCACATGGTGGACCGTCACTATTGGGCTCAGGAAACAAGCACTGAGTGATGGGATCAGCTTATGATGCCTGTACGGGATGACAAGCAGTGGCTGCAGAACTTTCTTATGCACAAAGCCACCTTCCTTGTGTAAGGGGGCTGTTGGCCCCTTACTAAAACTCAGTGGGGTTTTTTTGGTTGGGTAGCTCCCAGTACCAAAAGAAAGGGGAAGGGTCAATGGGAAATCAGGACCCTGAGACTGACAGTCCCCCAGGGGCAATGGGGAGAGGCCAATGCTCCAGGTCAGCCTGACTGACAGAGCGGGCAGGCTATGAGGGAGTCAGGAGGCCAGGGGGTTCCCATCCTCCGAGTGAGCTGGAGGGCTGCCTGGAACAGAGTGGGGCCGAGCTAAGGAGAGAGAAGGAGCCTGTGCTGAGCTGGGAGCAGAGCGACAGCAGCAGCCCAGAGAGCAGACCTGTGCTGGGAGGAAAACAGCAGCAACCAGAGCCAGAGGGGCCAGAAAAGCAGCCCAGAGAGCTGGAGACAAAGCAGCAGCAGCAGCAGTGCTGAGGCAGAGTGGAGCTGGAGCTGGGGCAGAGTGGTGGGGCTGGAACTGGGGCAGAGTGGTGGGGCTGGAGCAGTCTGGAGCCAGGTGTGGTGAGCAGCCGAAGAGAGTGAGGGGGACCCTGGGCAGCGGGCCCAGCACAGGGAGACGCCCCAGCCAAGAGGGGGATCGTAACCCCAACGGGGGGGAAGGGCTGACCCTGGGAAGAAGGGTTCTGCCACCTAGAGCCTGAGGCCACTGCCAGAGCAAGTGTCCGACCCACAGCATCCCTGCAGCACAGCCAGGGCCTGAGAAGTAGGCCTGGGACTTGTGAGGAACAGACTGAACTTCCCTTACATTCCAGAGACGCCGGTTGTGACGTCCCACAGAGCCGGGTTACATGTTTTCCTTTTACCTTTCCCATTTTCTCCTTATTTTTTTAATTGGTTGCTGTTTAATGAAGTGCATTTACTTTGAACTGTATGTAATGATCAGTGAGTCAAGGAAGTATCCAGTGCAGAGAGCACCCCAAAGTGGGGACACCCAAGCCCCTGCCCTAAGTGACCATGACAAGGTTGGGAATCGAGCCCCCCAGGAATCCTGGGCCCAGCCTTGTTGGGGTTATGAGGACTCTGCCACCCAGAAGAGCCGGAAGGGGAGTCCTCGAGGTCAGGCCATTTCATCACTCGGGTAACTGGGAGATTGGACACAGTCAGTACAGACAGAGCAGGAGATAGAGCCCAGGTTTCTGATATGACAAAGCCAAGTCTCAGCCACTGCGTCATGCTGCCTTTAAGAAGGAATGGTCCAAACTATGTACTTAACTATGCTGTCTCTAACCACTAGACCACACTTTGCACCCAGAGTCATGAGCATAACCCAGGAATCCTAACAGCCAACATTCCTCTGGTGTCGCACAGAGTTGTGTATCCCACTGGCAAAGTGTGTGCTGTGTCTTCCTCTGTGGTTGGACAACATCAATTCACCAGCCATTGCTCCTATGGCTGAACTGGAGGCGGTCTATGCGGTAGAAGATCTACAGGTCCTGCACTCAAACCCTGGGTAAAGGGAGTGGGAGCGAGGACTCAGCTTCTTTCACTAGCCCATTTCACCGGGGTAGTGTATAAGCCAGGAAAGTTCCCCACAATAGCAGGACTATTCCCCTGCTTACACTTGAACTGTGTGCAGAGTTCGCCCTCGCCCTGCGGCGCAAGTACACCAAAATGAGACAGCCCTAACGGTGCAAAAGTGAGTGGCAATCACTTTGTGGAAGCTGGCAACTCCCAGACTGCTACTGGTGGGGGTTGCGGTGATGCAAGTGTGCCAGGCCATTAATCACCTCCTGCTATAAAGGAATGTGATTCTAAGAAACGTGCGGGAAATAGTAGATAGCTTTGCAGCCATAAGATTTCAAGAACATAAGAATGGCCATACTGGGTCAGACCAAAGGTCCATCCAGCCCAGTATCCTGACTACCGACAAAAAGAACAGGAGTACTTGTGGCACCTTAGAGACTAACAAATTTATTTGAGCATAAGCTTTCGTGGGCTACAGCCCACTTCATCAGATGCATGTAGTGGAAAATACAGTAGGAAGATATATATATATATATATACACACACAGAGAACACAAAAGCTTATGCTCAAATAAATTTATTAGTCTCTAAGGTGCCACAAATACTCCTGTTCTTTTTGCGGATACAAACTAACATGGCTGCTTCTCTGAAACCTGTCTACTGACAGTGGCCAGATGCGTCAGAAGGAGTGAACCTAACCGGTAATGATCAAGTGATCTCTCTCCTGCCATCCATCTCCACCCTCTGACAAACAGAGGCTAGGGACACCATTCCTTACCCATCCTGGCTAATAGCTATTAATGGACTTAACCTCCATGAAT